ATTAGAGTGAGAGTATTCATGGAGGGCCAGCCTGCATAGCTTCTAATGCATACTCTATACTGTGCCACACTACCTTTGTGACTGGAAGCAGTAATTTCCATTTATGGGCTGGAAGATCCCACTTTTTCTTAATCATGTCTTCTTCCTCTTGAGTTGTCAGGATACAACCATCAAGTTTACAATTGGCAGGAGAATTGCCTATTGGAAAATAGTAAAGAATGACTTTCTCTAGTCCATTTCCACTTAGCACAGTTAGGCTTATAGAATACTAAACCTTTTGAATCATATTAAAAAAAAAAAAGCAAAGAATATATCATTGTTCTTTCTAAGCAATAGCAACTGTGTGAAGTATGTGAGAGAAGGAGTGTACAGTTTATGATGGAATTGGATTGCCTCAAGAAGTAGATGAGTGTTTGTTTTTTATAGGAATCAGAAATGCTTGACATATGTTAATGGCTGGCACATTTGAATCTGAATGAATAGTATTCTTACTTTGAAAGTCAAATGTAATTGATAAACTTCCTAGATTGCAGCTATAATTACTTACATAGTGCTATGTGGCTCATCGAAATTGTTCTAAAGCAGGAATATTTTTTCTTACAGCACTATATTTTGTAACGTGACAATAATATATATATATATATTGAGCTATGTTAACCAGTGCTTAGCTCCAAACAAATGCACTGTACTCAAAGGTTTGTAAGTATTCTCTAGATCAAAGTATAAGAGTCTGAGTTTCTCTTCTCTCTTTGGAATTTAACAGAAGTCATGTGCCCAGTGAGGCTAGACGACCTGAGGTGAGCAGTGTCCCCATATTCTTTGAGAAGAATTTCTGTAGAAGTTCACCCAGACTTTAAGATAATCAGAGGAGATTAGGATGCTACCCGAAAACACCAGCAAATGAGGGTATGCATTGCTCTCACACAACCTCTTTGTGGTTAATCTCTTAAAATACTGCTCTCCAAGTTGTGATGAGCATACTCCTACAGGTGTGCATGAAAATCCAAAGAATGCAGGAAGAAAACATCAGAGCTACTATTTCTACTGCTTTAAGATGAATATATGTGCCTGTATATGCACACACCAAAGACCAAAGAAGAGTTGATGCCTTTGAATTGTGGTGTTGGAGAAGAATACTGAAAATACCATGAAAATGCCAAGGCCAGAACAACAAACAAATCTGTCCTGGAAGAACTGCAGCTGGAATGCTCCTTAGAAGCAAGAATACCCACACTTCCTCTCACTTACATTGGTCATGTTGTCAGAAGAGACCACTCCCTGGAAAATATCGTTTTTGGTAGAGTAGAGGGTCAGTGAAAAAGGGGAAGACCCTGTGAGAGATGGACCGGCACAGTGGCTGCAACAATGGGCTCAGGCAAAGCAAGGATTTTGAGGATGGCTCAGGATCGGGCAGAGTTCCGTGCTGTTGACCAAAGGGTTGCTGTAAGTCGGAGCCAACTCAACGGCACCTAACAACAACAGCATGTGTGTATGTTGTTGTTGTT